GCGAAATAAAACCGTGCGACGCAGCTGAGCGAGAGGAGAGACAAACGGCTGTGCAGCACGCAGATACAGAAAGCAAAGACTAAGCGGTTAGAGAGAGAGAGAGAGAGAAAAAAAAAAACAACGGTCGAGGCCGTGAAGAACCCTGATTTGGGTGCCGCATAGATAGAGGGAGAGGCGGACTTGACTCCTTCTAATAAGAGCTAGGAACTTGGAACCAACGCGGTGAGTAAAGAAAAAAGAAGAGAAAAAGCTAACGATGCAACTTAAAAAAAAAAAAGGAAACTTAAATAGCTTATCAAATTAATTCCATTCTTATAGATTTGTGTGGAGACGACAGAGTGAACCAATCCTCTGTAGGAGGGAACCGTTGGAGCGCGTTGGTGAGTGAATGAGATTAAATTCAGTAAATTATTAAATTCAAAAAGCTAATTACAGCAACCGAGGTGACAGCAGTGGGCTGCTAGACGTTAGATCCCAGGAGTTAACATCTCAAACTACCAGTTAACGGTGGTAGGGCATATAGGAGTTAACGGCTCAAACCGCCAGTTAACGGCGGTAGGGCATATGGGATTCCCAGGAGTTAACGGCTCAAACCGCCAGTTAATGGTGGTACGGCCTAGATGTACAAGGTCCTCAGGGGCGTTATAGCTAACGCCATAGAATTAGCAATGCGTCCCTTAACCAAACATTTAATAATAATAAAAATAAATAAATAAAAATAAATAAAAGCTAACTGATTAGGGAGGAATTATTTTACAAAGGTGGACCAAAGGACCAGAATTTATATTTTGTTGAATTTTGTTATAGAACATTTTATTTATTTATTTATTTATTTATTTATTTATTTATTTATTTATTTATTGTGTTACAGATATACAAGGTGTCACAATGCTGTATAGAAACACAACTAAATGTATCCTTGTTGTCATGAATGTATTTCTTGTTGAATAGTGTAGAGTAATAGAATCTAACTGAGCCTATTGAGCTGAACAATTGTTGTCATATGTAATTATATTTCCAGAGCTACTGAGAATTATTTTAATAGACAATCAAATTGATGTTATGTTAGTTGAACTGTGAACCCAAACATGATTGGCTATGCCAATAGAGTGAAGCATTTGTTTAAGTCTGTAAGACTTTATGCTGTGATGTGACGAGAAGGGTCGATGCCAACTCGCTAACAGTCCTGTTGTTTACAGGCTGGGTTTTTTTTTTCCTTGGGTTTGATCCCGACTCCTATGATCACTCACTTGGAACGAGAACTGGATTTCTTCCTGACGAGGGAGATGGCGAGCCTTAACCACTGAACGAACCAGGACATCTCAAGTAACTGAAGAGCAGACTGCTCTCTTCTGTGAACAATCTCAACGGTGTGGTAGGAAAAAATCGCACCACCGGACTCTGACTTTCACCCCAAGCGTGGGGATTTGACTTGACGCCGGCTGACTTGTGACTCATATGATCAAATCTCATACCGAGCATTTTACTATTGTCGATTGTTTTCATCTGTTTTTGTGTGTTATCTTTATGTGTTATATTTCCCACTATTATTAAAATTTAGTATATAAACCGTTTCATGCTATACCCGTGACTCCAGTCATTCTTAAACAACCTCCAATTCTCCCCGAACCTAATTATTGGCCCATTTGTTTATTTTTTCTTTTAATTATCTTATTGTATCCTGTAATCCGGTTACACTAGTATTAATTGTTATTGAGCATTATTAATTATATCACTGTATATAATAAATCTTGCTGTGTACAATCAAGGCTGAATATATTTTTAGCTGTTTGTTTTGTTGTTGAGAAAAATGGGTTCCTTATATAAGTATTCATGCAAAGTTGTCCAACTTTAAAAGTTTATGTAACCCTAACTGACTCTGGTTTGAACTGTGTGCTTATTCATTTTGTGTCTATGATGAAGGCATGGAGACTTAATAAAGAAGTCACCTTGTGAGCAGTGAATCCTTAATTTTTGTCAGTCATACAGAAATACTTGATGTCAAGAGGAAAGGCAGCTGAAAATGTAGTTATGTAAAGCTTTGACACAACATGGAAATTTAATTAGATATCCAAATTTGAATTTTATCATCAAATAAATTTTTAGAATAAATAAACACATTTTAAGGGAGTAAAAGGGAAAAGGAGATTAATACCTTTCAGCATGTGCATTTCCTGCTTTTTCCAGCAGTGATATTGCTAATTCTGTTGAAGGAAATTCACTGTTTAATGAGACAGTTGGTGAAAATGATATGTAAATAAGTAAAAATGCATGTAGACCTACATAATTAAGCAAAACTGAAACACTAATATAAAGTATATATTATATTTTTTTCTCCCTTTGAATCTGGGAGGGTGGAACCTAGGGCTGTCGCGGTAACCGCAAAAATGAAATATCGCAATATGAAGAAGCCCACCGCGCTGCATCATGGGCCACCGCGATTACTGAACTTGGTTCAACTCAATGATGCATGTTGAGAAGGATGGCTGCACTGGTATCAAAACGAAACGTTACTTCGCTCCTTTGGGAGCGCTTTGGTTTTCAGTACGTCAGCTGCTGCGCAGCCAGAGTCCTTGGCCGAGACGGAGCTGCCACCAGCGGCAAAAAATAAATAAATAATAAACGCTCGGAGACCTCCTGAAGTCCCGGACAAGCACTGCTTCTGCAACCGTCCCGAAGAGAGTTTGAGCCGAGCTGGAGCTCACTCGCTACCTGCAGGAGGAATGCATCCACCCTAAAGAACCCCCCTGACATGGTGGAGCAACAACCAGGAGAGATTCCCTTTGCTCGCCAGAGTCGCACGCAAGTTGAGTTCGGAAGCGAGCGGGGCCGGACCGGAGCGGAGGGGAGCGGAGGTAGTGGAATTTGGGGTAAGTGCAACGAGCGCACCATCCGAGAGGGTTTTCAGTGTTGCTGGAAATGTTGCCACCCCTCTCAGATCCTCTCTCAAACCGTATATGGTTAACATGCTGGTTTTCCTTGTATGTAACAAGGACGTGACCGAGCTATAAATCACCGTCATTCGTGTGTGTGAAAGTGAAATGATAGTGCGCCCGCCCCCTGGCGCGCGCGCGCCCGGTACATGCAATTTTTTATGCTTGATTTTAAACAACTAAACAAAATGGGGACTTGTTTCTTATTTGTTAGATGCTGCAGCCAAATTTGCATTTAAAAGTTTAAACTTCTCCTGAATTTTGTTGTTTTTAAGTTCAGTCGGACTCCGACTGTCGGACAAACAAACGTTACTGCGATCTGTGTTGTTACTGCCCTTTGATCTGCATTCAGTAAAGCGTTATAAAAGAAGGCACGGCAATTTTTAACCTTTTTTAAATGTGTAAACATTATGTTTAGATAGTACTGCAATAAAAAAAAGGACTGCAATAATATCGCATACTGCAATATTAAGCCACCCTGAATCACCGCAGGGGGAATTCCTCAACCGCGACAGCCCTAGTGGAACCCCAGCTCCGGCTATGGACGAGTCCCCAGGGGGCCCAACTTGATATTTTTTCATGGGGCCCAAAATCTCTGGCAGCCCCCCTGCTGAAATATAAAAAATGGTAAATGTTGAATATTAACCTGATATATCGGTCTACCCATGCATGTTAGCAAATTCAAAATTACACCATTTATTTTGAGCTATTTGATTTATAGGTGCTATAGAGAGTCTGCAAACAAGCTAGGGCCGTTTCTCAATCGCACGCTTCATCCCGCAACGCTCCTCTGTGAGAGCGGGGGGGTGGGGTGGTTGCACACGTTCCGCTGCTGTTTCTCACCAGTATCAGCTGATGGAGGGCACTAGTTTTGCTGCGCCGTTCGTGTCAGCGGACACGGTAGGGTTGGGGAGGGGGAAGGAGCATGACGCTTAGCCTGGCGGGTGGGCAAGTAAAGCCTGGCGGCCCGCCAGGCTTATAAAGTGCTGGGGGAACCCTGGTAGTTAAAGCTTTGGTGGCTAGCAGGTAGTAACTTGCTTATATATGTAATTTACCAATGCATGCTGGTGAAGGTTCTCAGTCATCCAGGTCATGACAATCCAAAAGGGTTCAAATGAAGACAACTGGCCTTCTTTGGTTTGTTTAAGACGTTTTGCGTCTCACTGAAGTGTGAAAAACCTACTCTAAATAAAGGAGGGGGTACTGCTTAGATTCTACCTTTCCAGAACCTATAATACAGCTTCGATTCTCATTCCTTAGCAGTTTGTCTAGGTCACACCTTCCTGCGCCTAATCGACACAATGACACTCTCTCAATAGAGGCTAACGTCTCATCAGGGGGTATGGAGGAGGGGCATCCATAGTAGTTTCAGCTCGTTAAATAACAACAGACAGCTACAGCTTATAAGCTTGACTCTCCCATATTCCAGTTAGAATTGACAAAGCTCCTTGGATGAGAAGTGAAACGTCTTCAAGAAACCAAAGTCCAGTTGCTTTCTTTTGAACCCATTTAATTAACCAATGTATACACAATTAAAAATATAAAAGTCTCGTTATATATTGACATTGAAACTAGTACGTATGAAATATAACATTATTTCCTGTGTCACATGACCGCGGCTGATGCAAGTCTGTTCCATTTAACCATTTTCTTTGACCAGGGAAGGACAGTGTCCTCGTAAGCAAGGCACCTGGCCTCGCAAGACATCGCCTTGTGAGGCCAGGTGCCTTGACATTGAGCAACACCCTTAGACCTGCTCCCACGTATTTTAGACCTGATTTTTATGGTTATATGTTACAAATCGGCCAATATTTTTCAACAACTTGGCGTTGTTTAGTTCATTTTCAACAACATTTCGATGGATATTTCCTGAGGTTAATAGTAAAAACAAATACACATCGTCACTTTAATACTTGCATTGTAATGCATCTTTACTCATTCTTTTACAATCGGCGCCCCATACATATTGCCATATCTGTGCTGGGGGAGATAAGGGCTACAGAAAGGAAGGCAGATTTATTGCAAGATAACTGAAGACAGAGAAAACGTTTAAATTAATCCACTCACCATGTTGACTTCTGACACCATGTCTATGCTCGCCACGTCTATGCTCATGCCGACTGCAACAGGGGGTCCTGGAAGAGATAGCAACACTCAGACGGGCCCCCTTTTCCCCCCAAACACCTGACCACAACACTGAGACTGGCGCCAAAACTGAAGCAGATGGATTTATGATGGAGGGTGGGGAAGAGGCTGCAAAAATGCGGCGCCTACCTCCAAAGTCCGGTCTCAGTCGGATGTCGTAGCCCTTCAGGAGTTTATCCACCGTCTCCTTCACGGTGGACATGTTGCCCGATTCATTGACGCTGAAACGACAGCAAGAAGGAGAGGAGACATCATCACCTGGTCTCGGTGCCAATTAACCCGAGCAATAACCTTGGCTTGACAGGAAAGAGAGAGAAAAAAGCCCACAAACCTTTTAGCGCAGCACACGATCGAACCGACAACCAGCGCGGACAAGACGCGGATTTGGCGCACCCGTTCCCAAGACAACATCATCGTTTACGCGAACAATTAGGCTTAGTTTATAATATTGTTGATCTCTACGGCGCTTGCAGCAAATTGCGTCTCCCCGCCTTCGCAATCAACAGTCTTGTCCCCTCAGATCCAGAGTAAATCCATTCATCTCTCCCCGCAACAGCAACACAAGCAGGAGAAAGTCTGCAGCGGACCAAGTCAGATGTGGAATAAGGGCTGACATCGCCTCCCCGCCGGGAACGTGGAGTCCCGCTTGTGTTTTACCGTCTCTGAGTGATGAGGCTTTCACACTCAGGAGCTGGAGCGCATATTGATGCTGGTGGTGGTGGTGGAGGCACGCCGTTACTTCAAACAGGAGACGAGCCCAGCACTTACCACACTGTAAAAAATATCCAACCAAGTCTCAACTCAAAAATCCACGTGATCGCAGTGCCCCCCTCATCCGCCAGGGGCGGCGGCTCCAGAAAGGGGCAAGTTCCCATAGATTCCTGTGTTAAAAACGCCAACTTCACAGCAGAAATAAACATGTTTACAGCCTGGTTCAAAAATACATTTTAGGTTGTAGGGAGCCTACGTTTCTTGCAGATGATGTGGTCCTGTTGGCTTCATCAGAACATGGTCTTCAGCTTTCGCTGGAGCGGTTCGCAGCAGAGTGTGAAGCAGCTGGGATGAGAATTGGCTCCTCTAAATCTGAGACCATGGTCTTGATTCAGAAAAGGGTAGAATGCCTTCTCCGGGTCAGGGATGAGGTCCTGCCCCAAGTGGAGGAGTTTAAGTATCTTGGGGTCTTGTTCACGAGTGAGGGAAAACTGGAGCGTGAGGTCGATAGGCGGATTGGTGCTGCATCGGCAGTGATGCGGGCGTTGTACCGGTCTGTCGTGGTGAAGAGAGAGCTGGGTCAGAAGGCGAAGCTCTCGCTTTACCGGTCGATCTACGTTCCTACCCTCATCTATGGTCATGAGCTTTGGGTAGTGACCGAAAGAACGAGATCGCAGACATAAGCGGCCGAAATGAGTTTTCTCCGAAGAGTGGCTGGGCTCTCCTTTAGAGATAGGGTGAGAAGCTCAGTCATCCGGGAGGGGCTCGGAGTAGACCCGCTGCTCCTCCACATTGAGAGGAGCCAGTTGAGGTGTCTCGGGCATCTGGTCAGGATGCCTCCTGGACGCCTCCCTGGTGAGGTTTTCCGGGCACGTCCAACCGGGAGGAGACCTAAAGGTAGACCCAGGACACACTGGAGGGACTATGTCTCTCAGCCGGCCAGGGAACGCCTTGGGATTCGTCCGGAGGAGCTGGCCTAAGTGGCTGGGGAGAGGGAAGTCTGGGCCTCTTGCCTTAAGCTACTGCCCCCGCGACCCGACTCTGGATAAGCGGATGAAAATGGATGGATGGATGGATGGATGGATGGATGGATGGAGGGAGGGAGCCTAAGGCTCCTCCCTTTGCGGTCGGCTCATGGGTCCCCAGAAGAATGAAAAAATGAATGCAAGTCAACGGGGCGAAAAACTCTACTTTCTTATCTGCTTTGCCTTAGACCCGGGATTGCACATTTGTTGTACTGCAATTTAAATGAAAGTTAATGATGGGTGTTTCGATCACGCCCGCCACATACATTGAGATTTATCAGCTTGTAAAAGTTCATAATTAGCATGATTACACATCAGAAATCGGCACGTAGCATATATGACGTCACCACAAAATCTCCTCTCCCCAAAGTAGCTGGTACTTACCAAATAACCAGATTTATGGTGGTTCTTTCCTCCTGTGGGAAGTTTGCTGAATTTACAGCCCTTTTCCCTCAGTTTTCTCCGTGCCTGGTTCGATGACGTCATTTTCGTGAAGCGCATTTGTAGTTCTGGACTTATTTTCAAACAAAACTTAAAATAGTGTTTGCCCCCATTCGAAAAATAAGTGTGTTCTTGGTATCAAAATGTGTCTTTAAAATTCATTGACGTCACATGTGAAATCCATGGCACATAACAAGCGGGATTAGAAAATAGCGTTTTTAGCCCCGTTGACTTGCGTTCATTTTTTCATTCTTCTGGGGACGATGGTCCGGAAGTAGATGGGTGTGACTTAGGCTCCTTATAGGTCAAGTTTACCGTCATGACAACTCTGATAGATGTTTTGTAACTCATCCGTTTAGATTTAATTAAAGTTAGAAATTATGAGTAGGGGCATGTTCATTTGACTGTCAGGTAGCAAATGAGGCGCTACAGCTAGCAGCTTGCCTCCTGTTTGCTCCAGTGAAGGCCTCAGCCAGAAAGCAGAGGGCTGCAGAGTTGCTCAACCGCGGTTTTCTGGCTAAAAAGGCCCGCCAGCCTCCGTTAGCTTTGGTTAGCTCAGTTAGCTTGTAGGTACATTGTCTCAGAGTTTACTGGGGGTCAATCATCTGCCCCCACCAATCACAGCCGTAGGAATCAAAATAGAAACATTTTAACAACTCCAGAAAAAAAAGATAAATTTTCCCAGTTCCAATTGATTCTAGATGCCCAACCTTAATTAACACATACCTTCATATATTTTCACTAGTGCTCTATGACATCTCATGTTCTGTCCTCACAAGTGGAAAAGCATCAGTCATGTTTTGTTTTAAGGTTCCAAAAGGGAGCATTCATGCTAAGGAACTTTTGATTTGTGGTCAAAACCCACACTGGCAGTTTTATTAAGTGTTTTATAAAGTTGGGACATTAAAGAGTTGGAAAAGCAGAAAAATTCTGAAATTTCATTAGTTTCACAATTCCCATATTGCAACTTAACACCAACAATTTGTTTTCTGATGGTATTGGTTTATTTTATTGCATTAAAAATAAGGCTGTACATGCTAATTATTTTGTTTGCCTTTTAGAATATTTTTTTTATTCATTCAACTTTTTTAAAGCGTATAAAAATCTGGTGAATATTTGTTCCTCGTCTAATGTTACAACAACTGATATTTTTTACAGTGTACCCCAAACCATCAGCACCGGTTTCCTTCCCCAGTGTTTCCAATAAAAATGGCGTGAGCTGAGCAGTATCCAATGGAGACAGGCTGCATTTTTCAATCTACTAATCAAAGCCAGTGACTGATCAGCCTGTTATTCATTACTAACAGCTTCTTTATTATCTGATATGAAACGAGGGAGGGGTGAGGGCAGCATTAAGATGTGTTTTTTGTTGTGGGGGTGGAGGTCAGAAAATCCATGGATAATTTGGGTGGTGCACAGTGTACAGATGTGGAGAACCCATAAGGAGGAGGGATGAGCGGTACCATACCTGGTGTCATAGATGGCGATCAACTTCTTGCTTCCGTCAACAACATTCCTGTAACAAAATGGTGATGACATCATTAATCAGAATGCTCATTTGCATCATTACAAACACAAAAATCAAGAAGATTTCTTTGACCTATTATTACTACAACTATTGTTGTTTTTTGTGGCACGCAGTCAAGCATGAATGTGAAACGCCGAAGAGCCTGCGGGGTAAATACTGAAAGGCAGTTAATTTTCCCTTGGCTACGCCCTCCATTTCACACACACACTGCCTTTTCACACACTTGTCCTAACGCTCGTCACCCTGCAGGAGCTGTTTGCACCGGGCATGGCGCTGAAATCAGACTCCCGAGGGTGCACTCGTGTTTCCCCACTTCCCTCCACAGACTGCTCCTCCAGACGGGTTAAAGAAAGCGTAGGGAGGTTAAACATCACTAACTAATTACCGTGTAGGAAAGGTGGAACTCGGCTACCCTCTTATGGCAAGCGTCAGGATGATAAAGTGTGTTGCAACCCATCCGAGCGTGGCGTCTTCACATCTGAGTGCCATTCGTGTGCAAATAGACTTTGTACCGAATGCTGACTGTCACACACGTCCAAACACACAAAGGTTGTGCTGATGTGTTCACAGTGAGGCGAAAACTAAAATTTGGAACCCATAAGAAAGCTGCTGCCTTAATAGCGACATCATTAAAGCGGCCCAGATTAAAAGCCTCAGTGCATTACATCCACGTTCACTTTTCACGCTGGCCTAATCGCTTCCCTTTCTAAGCATTTCCTTACATTATGACCATTTGTGGTGCAGAAAAAAGGAAATGAAAAATAATCAATGTCAAAATGAATGAGGAGAAAAAAGGCTCCTTAGCTAAAAGCTTAAAAAGAGTTTTATTTTTTTATTTGTTTACATTTAAAAAAAAATAGAAACTTCTATTAAAAACAAAAATGTATGAAAGTGTAGTTAGCTAAAAGCTAAAAAGTGCTACAAGCTTTGATTTGTAGTCATTTTTCATAAAACCATTAGGCCCCTCCCCTAAAGTAAGTAAGTAAATAAACAATGACAAAGTGGTTATTTTCCACAAGTACCATTTCCTTTTTGAGTGTTCGCTTCTGTGGGCGTGCCCCACGGCAGCTGTGGCTATAATGTAACAATGTGTGTGTGAATGGGTGAAAGACTGACTATGTTGTAAAGCGCTTTGGGCGGTTCCAGGACTGTAGAAGGCGCTATATCAAATACAGGCCATTTACTATTTTATTCACTTCTACTGACCATTACAAAAACTAAACTATTACTTGACAAGAAAAGACTTGTTAGCTCATAACTAAAGCACTCTTTACTAAAGCCACTAAAAAGAAAAAAGTAATTCAAAATTTGCTAAATATTTTCCCAATTATCACTTCACCTTTTGAACCAACTTTTCCCACAATGCGGATACGGATAAACGTAGCTAAAAACAGCTAGTCTTTATAGCGCACTGTTTCCATGGCCAACAGATATGCTTGTGTGTAAAAGCTGAAGCAAAGCTCGTTTTTGGTGAACCACTAAAGGGATACTTTGCGGCTTTCACATTTTAAATCATTTTCTTGAGCCAGTATGTGCTAAAATGACCCTTTACAGGGTTAATGAAAGGCCACCCAGCCTCTATTGCCCTTTGTGCTAAGAATATTCCACTTGCAACTTCCGACTGGTGGGCCTTAAATTCAATGAGTACAAATTTCTTTGTCTGTAGAACTCCAATGTGTTCAAAATTAATAAATAAATGATACATAATAAAATCTGTTTGTACGTAAATAAATACTAGATAATTGCGTAATCTGACAATGAAATTGTAATAAAACTGAATATTATGTAAAAATATAAAACTCGATACTATAAAATATTTTTCATTCTTCTACTAAAATTAGTTTATCAAAGGTTGAATGTGGAACAACTTAATAGAAAGCTATACCTCCACAGGGCATTTAGATGTGTGCAGAATGAAGGTACAGAATTTCCTTTAAAAGTTACATTTTAATAAAAAAAATAATCAAATAATAATTTTGTTGGGAATGACACTGGGTTCATGTTTACATTTACCAGTCAATAGAGGGGACTATTGCGGGTAGCCAAACAGTCTGCTTGGCACAGGGAGGCTGGCCCTGTGAAAAATGACGGATTCGGGAAGTCAAGGTTCTGAGCCCAGAAGATGTCATAATCTCTGTCAGAAGTGGAGCGATCATAAAGCAATCTAAATCCAATGAGTTTAGGTGAAGGCAATGGACCCAGATAAAAGAATTCCCGTATCGGCAGCAAACCTGGTGTCCCGACGGCTGGAAACCTTGTACTACACTTGCAACTACAACCTCCACACACTAGATGTCGCTTTGGTGTCCAAACTCCTTATAGAACTTTATTTCAGAGGGAATGTTTCCCAATAATGCAAATGATAATAGAGCCCTTTTTATTTAATTATTTCAGATTTTATTACACAACGTCCTTTTAGAAAAGTCTGCTTTAATTTCATAATAGTGATTTTTTTCATGGCTGATTTATTTCATGAGGATACATTTCATCAGAATATTTCAGTCTGCCAGCAAAGACAGTGGGTGTCGGCTGCAAAACCGTTTTAAACTTTAAAAGTGGTTTAGTTTCCCTGGATAGCGACTTGCTAAACGCAAATGAGCTGATTTGTGAACAGGAATATGCATCGCACAGTCCAGGACTACAAATGCGCTTCACGAAAATGGCTTCATCGAACCAGACACGGAGAAAACTGAGGGAAAAGGGCTGTAAGTTCAGCAAACTTCCCACAGGAGGAAAGAATACCATAAATATGGCCATGTGGTAAGTAGCACCTACACTAGGGGAGAGGAGATTATGTGGTGACGTCACATATGCGACTGCCGATTTCTGGTGTGTTGTCATGCTAATTACGAACTTTTATAAGCTGATAAATCTCAAAGTACGTGACTGACGTGGTCGAAACACCCATCATTACTTTTCAATTAAATTGCAGTATAACACATGTGCGATCCAGGGCGTATGCCAAAGCGGGTTAGAAAATAACGTTTTTAGCCCCGTTGACTTGCGTTCATTTTTTTGTTCTTCTGGGGACCCATGAGCCGACCAGAAAGGGAGGAGACTTAAGCTCCCTATGAGCAGCCAATCACAAACAGACTCCGCCCAGTTTGTCTTGATTGACAGACTAAGACATTCTACTGGAAAGTGTCATTATGAAATATATCAGACACCCATGGACATAATTTGGGGCTGCGTTCATTCACTTTTTCCAAAGTCAAGTTTTGACCCCTGCACTTTTTACCATCCAAGAACAATATTACTTTATATTAAATTGACACTAGTTGAGCTCTAGGACCAAGCGGAAAACAACCGTTTGTGTATAAGCCTGTTTCCCATTAGAACATACTGTAAAGATCCCCCCCCCCCCCCCCCCACACACACACACACACTTCTAAAGTGAAAATTACATCCATGCAGACACCGGGGAAACCACTAACAAGACATCAAAGCTGTGGGAAAAAAGGAAGTTATATAAAAAAACTGAACGAATTCAATAAAAACGTACAATTTGCATCATTGGGGAAAACCACCTCTTGAATAAAGCTTTACATTAATAAACACATTTTAAAAGTGAGTGAAAAATGTTTAGAAAAATTCCCTATTTCACAATTGCAATTACACAAATGTCTAGTTTGTTACGTAGAAACCGATTTCAAAATGTGATATTTATTTAATTTTGAACACTTTGGAGTTCCATACAGAAGACATTGGTTTAGCCCCCCCACCCCCAGCCCACCAATGGAGGAGCACCTGCTTTATTAAGTATTAGCTGCTGCTGCTGCAGCACATTTCTCCTGCGCCGGCGGTAGGCGGCACGACGGAGGGAGCCGGTCCGGAAAAATGTGGATAGGATCTGGTCTCCTCCGAGGCTGATGCTGGTGTTGCGGTAGACACCTCTGGTCAGGACGAGGACGTGGTGAGAAGCCCCCCCCCCCAGGAGGAGGAGAAGCCGGATAATAATACCCCCCTGACGGGGGAAACCGCTGACTGACAGAAAGAGAGGGAGAAGGAGCAGCTAAGGAGGTGGAGGAGGAGGAGAGAAGCACGGTGAAGAATAGTACAGTTTGAGCAACGCCGACGGAAACCCCCAGTCTCCGGTCGCTGTTCGGCGGGGAGGACTCGAATAAAGCTTGGTGCTGATGCATTCAGGTAACCTGTCTTTACAATGATTTTCCATGAAAATGGTGCAGGAAAAGGCTTGTTGAAGGTGGAGGGGAGAAGAGAGGTGAAGGACTGAGACGCACTGGCTAATTATTTTAGAAAGAAGGTGTTTTCTTGGCTTGTTCTTCCTTGGTAATAAACATTCGTAGTGTGCTTTTGGACGGAGGAGTTGCAGAATGCTGCTTCTCTGAACGCCAGCTGTCCCGCTGCATGATTTAGTGCCAGTCTGCCTCAGTGTGTAGCGAGGCTCAGAGTTTTCTGAGACTGTTTAGGAGGGAATCGTGCTGATTTTACTCTCATTTGTCCTGGAAAATGTGTGTCTGTTTCAGCAAACACGGTGAGCAAAATCCCAGTCATGGCTCAGCTCATCCTTTCACTTCTGCTCCTGTTCGGGGGCCAAAACAGGTAATGAAGACACGAAAAAACCTGTGCAACACCTGCTCTTCTCTTGCAAATACTACTAAATAAGATTGCTCTCATCTCCACGTTCGGTTCTGCACCGTTCCCTGCACAACTCTTTGAGTTTTTTTGCTTTTTCCTTCCCAATCCTGGTGATCGATCATATACTTGAGCTGCCTTCTGACTGGTCCTCAAAGTAATCCAAAAAGACCTCACCAGATTGGATCAAACTAAATGTTTGAGCTTTACACCGCTGTTTTTGCTCTTCCTCTGTAACCTCCTATAATCAGTTAAAAACAGGTGACTATGCTCAAGCTCCTAGCTGTAAAAACCCTTATTTCCATGGAATATTTGCATGATTCTTGCTGTATTCAAAAACAGAGCTCATTTGTTTGTATCTGGATCACGCCCTCCTAATTATCTCGACTGGTTCATGTAAGCAGCACTTATGTTCAATAATTAATCACAACAAGTCCGTCCTTGATGCGGATAGCTAATTAATCACAATGAACATGTCACGTTTGTTGTCCCGGGTCCGACTAATGGATAGATAATCTCCAATCTCCTGCTGTTTCTACCCTAGTTTTTGCCAGACTTCGTCGGAAGCTCAGAAGGAAACGGGTGCCAACGACAACAGCACGGTCTTCACCAGGATCCTGGACGGGCTCCTGGATGGCTACGACAACCGGCTTCGACCAGGGCTTGGAGGTTTGCTGGGGGGTGGTGGTGGGTGGGTGTTTTTACTTTTGAATGGTCCTGAACTGAAAGGACTGGAGGTTATTTTGTCTTTCGAACATTCTAACTGTTCTATCCAATGCACCAGTTTATAGAACAACGCCAATATTTCCATGATCATGCGTTGTCAGTTGACTTGTGTCCTCCTATAAGTCAAGGGGAGGATCTTTATCGGAGGTCCACTCCTAAATGGATGGACATCGTAGAGCTGTGTAAATCAGTCAATCTGTTCTCACCTCAGAGAGAATGCAGCTCTCGCTCTTTGCAGTGTTTTATTCACGCTCCTCACCCTGGCAACAGGAGGTAACCTTGAGAGCCAACAAGCTGCCATTCAAAATATGGAAAGGAAAGCTTTTTATTCTCTTCTCCAAAAGTGTGGTCCTTTCTTACACGCCCACCCCCTTAAATTTTCTTCGAGCTTTTCAATTTGCTTTCAAGATGCTGGTTCACCTCGTTGCCACGTGTGCTCAGGACTTGTCCAATAACAGGGAGGAACAAGTGCTTTTTCATATCTGCGTGTCATGGCGAACGCCAGCTCTCACAGCCTGGTAACGGTTGCTACCCTTGACAAGAGGGCCTATAAATACATACCAGAAAAACACCGAGGCTTTCATTCAGCACTGAAAGAGCCGCTCAACCAATCGCAGCTTTCCAGGACCGAATTTATATTCATGAAAGTTTTTTTCTGCCTTTATTCCTGGTACAAATGACAGAAAAATGGTTCTCATCTCTTTCACATTATAGGGAAATTGTGGATCTGAATGACTTCATACTCCTAATGCGCCAATCTGCTTTACATCACGGAAGGGTTTCGAATTGATCCATTACGCTCGTTTTTATGGCGCCAAGAGCGAAAGGGGGGGTTTACTGGAATTCTTAACTCAAGACACAAAGTAATTCAATATTTCATAGATTAGAACAACAATCTTTGTAACATGGTAAAAATGCTTTAAACTATTCGCTTTTTATTATTCTGAAGCCCTAACCCTACCAATAAGAGTTTTAGGGAATATTTTCAGACGTCAGCCTAAAGGTTTCTTCTATGGCAGGTGCAAATCTTTATTAATCAGGGCTTTAGATGACCAGGATATCTTTCCAATTTCTTTTCCCAATCAAACGAATCAACTGATCAAATCATCAAATGATATGTCAGACAGACTGGGAGGAGAGTTTAAGTATCTTGGGGTCTTGTTCACAAGTGAGGGAAAGATGGAGCATGAGATCGATAGGTGGATCGGTGATGCGGGCGTCGTACCGGTCTGTCCTGGTGAAGACAGAGCTGAAACGGAAGGCAAAGCTCTCGATTTACTAAATCAATCAATGTTCTAACATTCACATGGTCACGAGCTTTGGGTAATGACTAAAAAGAATGAGATTGAGGATACAAGCGGCTCAAGTGATGGGGTGAAAAGTTCGGTCATCCGGGAGGGGCTCAGAGTCAACCTGCCTCTTCACATCGAGAGGAGCCAGTTGGGGTGGCTCGGGCATCTGGTCAGGATGCCTCCCGGATGCCTCCCTGGTGAGGTTTTCTGGGCACGTCCAACCCGAGAGGAGACCCAAGGGAAGACCCGGGACACGTTGGAGGGACTATGTTTCTCAGCTGGTCAGGGAACATCTTGGGATTTTCTTGGAGGAGCTGGCCCAAGTGGCTGGGGAGAGGGAAGTCTGGGCCTCTCTGCTTAGGCTGCTGCCCCCAATCAATCAATCAATCAATCAATCAATCAATCAATCAATCAATCAATCAATCAATCAATCAAAGCTTTATTTATAAAGCGCCTTCCGCAACCCTGTCAGGAAGCCCAAGGCGCTGACCCCATGACCTTACGCCCATGACCTTCTGCCTTACGCCCTGGATCACACATATGTAGTACTTCAATTTAAATGAAAAGTAGTGATGTGTGATTTGACCATGCCAGTCCCCCATGACACCCCCCCCCCCCCATGACCCGACTCCGGATAAGCGGCTGAAAATGGATGGATGGATATTTCAGACAATGTATTTGAATGTTTGACAACTAATTTGTTATGACTGTTTGATCAACTGCCCCCCCCCCCCCAAAAAAAATTGGCCAAATCAGCTGTGTAATCAACTATAGGACCTAAGTCTCCTCCCTTTACGGTCGGCTCACGGGTCCCTGGTAGAACAAAAAAATGAATGCAAGTCAACGGGGATAAAAGCGATTTTCTAACCCGCTCTGCCTTACGCCCTGGATCACACATATGTAGTACTTCAATTTAAATGAAAAGTAGTGATGTGTGATTTGACCATACCCGTCACGTTCTTTGAGAGCTTGTGAAAGTTCGTAATTAGCATGACTACAAATCAGACATCGGCACGTTGCATATATGATGTCACCACATAATCTCCTCTCCCCTAGCGTAGCTGTTCCTTATCAAATGGCCGGATTTATGGTGGTTCTTTCCTCCTGAAAGAAGGATTTGAAGTTCGTCGAATTTACAGCCATTTTCCCTCAGGTTTTTACCATGTCTGGTTCGATGATGTCACTTTGATGATGCGCATTTGTAGTCCTGGACGTATTTTCACACAACACCTAAAATAGCGTTTCCCCCGTTCGAAAATAAGCGCGTTCTTGCCATCAAAATGCCTCCTTAAAATTCACGGACATCATATGTAAAATCCATGGCATATGACAAGCAGAATTAGAAAATAGCGTTGAGCTCTATTGACTTGCATTCATTTTTCATTCTTCCGTGAGGCGAGTGGTCCGGATGTGAGCATGACTTAGGCTCCCTATAGAATGAACTATTCAGACTGATCAAATTATCGATCAAACAAATATATGATTAACTCCCTGACTGATTAATAAAGCAACCACAAAAAGCTTAATTGAATAATTGACCGATTAATGAACTGTTCCATTTCAAAATGAACCAGTCCAACTAAACTGGTCAGATCATTTATATGACGGACGCCACAGTGGACAAATCAAATAATGGAGGGTCAGATTCAAAGATGGCGCCAGGAGAGAGCAAAAGCACGCCTCGACTAGTAGAAGCTAGCTGTTAGCATTAGGCTCCAGGCTTGTGTTATTCATGGAGATAAAACATTAAAGATGCAAAGCAAATAGAAGCAGTGGAAGAGTCTTGTTGCTGTTGACCAGTCAGATGAGACATTCGAATATCATGAATATTAATCAATACAACGCTAAATCCTAACTAACTTATAATTCAGGAACCTGAAGCACCAGAGTTGTTTTTTCCACAGAAAACGACTCACGAGGCATTCATTTATACCAAAGACCTACAAATGTATTGAAAAGTGAATGAATGAGAGCTTTAAATGTACCTTGCATCAATCAAATGAATCTAATATCAACTAGAAGTCAGGATACGTGATTACAGTTTTCTGTTTTAGTCAAAATTGTTTGATGTGTTTAATTTAGAACTTCAGAAAATGCTCAATGACACCCAAAGTTACCCTTTCTAGTACAGTCTTAGGATATGCTTTTAGTTACTTCTCCATTTCTGTGAGTGAAATTGAAATGAAATAGTTTGTTCCATTATTGTTCTGCTATCTAATGTAAACCTCCCTCTCTCAACAGAGAACGTCACAGAGATCAAGACGAACATTTTTGTCACCAGCTTTGGTCCTGTGTCCGACACAGAGATGGTGAGTTCCCGTTAAGCTAGCTAAACCAAAACACAGCACCAGAGCTCATCAGGAATACTGCTGCTGTATGTTTTAGCGCACAGTTATTATCTGGGATTGGTACCATTACTCCTGATTAGAGGCCGACAGATATGTTTTTTTAAGGCAGATGCCGATACCAATTTTTAAAGAATTTTGTTGCCAATGGCCGATATTTAAAGACGATTATTAAGGCCGATAGATGTCTTAATATTTTTCAGTCTGGTAGTGGCGGCAGTTGGCCACACAGGTGCCTGTTTTTGTAATTAATTTTTTTTATCGGTGTTTACAGATAATTTTGTCCGATGGTCGATATAGAAAAAATTTAATGTATCGAATATATCACTGATTTAAACAGTGCAATGACTAATCACGATACTTCCAGATACTTTGTAGAAGCATTAGATGTATCATAATATTTTACTTAACGATTGCATCACTTGACTTATGACACTTTGACTGTGGTTGAGCTTTAGAAACCAGAGCATTTCATGGCTGATGGACAATTCAACATTTCTTTAGTTTAGCTAATTCAGCCTCATTAACTAATTAAGTAAGTAAATAATAGAGAAACGGATTAATCATCGGACCAGTTTAGATTAGTCAGTGGTTCGACCTGTTCATCGAATGGCATCGAAATGCTGACGCTACTAATTTTTGGTCAAATCAATCCATTTACGGACTAATTAGCAGATCAAATGATTAATCAACAGACAACTTAATTAGCCAGATTAGTCAGTTGAATACTAATTGAGAGATAGACCATTTAATCATCAGAACAGCAAATGGGTCAGAATTATTAGTCACCTGATCAACGATCAGGTCAGATTATTGGCACATTTTGCTGACTTGGAAACCAAGTCTCTCCTGCTGCTGTCCCCGATCCCAGGAGTACACCATAGACGTGTTTTTCCGCCAGAGCTGGAAGGACGAGCGGCTGTGCTTCAAAGGACCCATGGAGATGCTGCCATTAAACAACCTGCTGGCCAGCAACATCTGGACCCCCGATACCTTCTTCCTCAATGGCAAAAAGTCTATAGCGCATAATATGACCACGCCCAACAAGCTGCTGAGGCTACAGGACGACGGCACGTTGCTTTACACCATGAGGTAGACCACCACCTGAATTCTGATTTTGGTTTTAGTCCGTGAAATTGTTCCGCAGTGGCCTGGTAAACATGGAAGACAGGCAACTGAGAATGCACAACAAACTTAACAGAAAGCCTCTGTCGTTTGCTCAGACTGTGAGGAAATACCACCACCAAGTGGCCAAGCAGGTGTACTGCAGTCCTATAAGAAGAATCTATGTAAAAGAATTTTTGTCAAATTCTTTCTCTTCAGTCGTGCATTTAAATGTTCAATAAGCCAGAGAAAAGGTGGACGTTAAGCAACAGGACTAATGACAATATATGTAGATGGGTGTGGGTGTCCCAAGAGGATTAGTTCAGGGAGAGATTATCCACATCCAGCCACCCTGACTCGTCCACAAAACCAATGAGATGCATACACAAACACGTTTCCTGCTTAAATAACACTAACCTTTGACCTCTAGGCTAAACCAATTAAGACCAAGCAAGAAATCTAAGGATGTACGAAGATAAAACTGGATATCAGAGGCCTTTATAAACAGCACCAGATCCTTGCGCCACAGCAGCTGGCTGCTTTTCATCATCTGATTGTCACACTGCTGAGCTTGTCGTTACCAGTGGAGCTTAACCACGGGCGACGTTGATGTGTGCTTGCTGCCTAAACACACACAGACACACACGCACTCCGGCCACGGGCTACAGCAAAGGTCCGCCCTCTCTGTTTTTCACTTTGCTTTTCTCTGAGATAGAAAATACAGATGCTGTTGATATTTTAACTCCAGCAAATCGAAATATTTCATCAACCCGACATCTCGATTACAAGAAATCCTTCAAACAGCGCTGGCCTGAGCGCTCTGCAGTTTTGAATGTTGCTATGGCAACTTAGGCCCAATCCAGTTTTTACATGTATTAAAGATTATTATTTTTATATCGTCCTAACAGTGACGACACAAAATACATACGAGAGAAGAAACCAGCTTTAGAATCCATTGAGGATCGTCTCGTCTTCTTCCGCCAATCCGGGTCCGGGTCGCGGGGGCAGCATCCCAACTAGGGAGTTCCAGACCGTCCTCTCCCCGGCCACCTCCACCAGCTCCTCCGGCAGGACCCCAAGGCGTTCCCGGACCAGATTGGAGATGTAACCTCTCCAACGTGTCCTGGGTCGACCCGGGGGCCTCCTGCCAGCAGGACATGCCTGAAACACCTCCCCAGGGAGGCGTCCAGGAGGCATCCTGACCAGATGCCCAAACCACCTCAACTGACTCCTTTCGATATGGAGGAGCAGCGGATCTACTCTGAGTCTTTCCGGAATGTCCGAGCTCCTCACCCTATCTCTAAGCCTGAGCCCAACTCATTTCGGCCACTTGTATGTTCTTTCGGTCATTACCCAAAGCTCATGCCTACAGGTGAGGACTGGGCGGTAGATCGACTAGTTAATCGAGAGCTTTGCTTTCCGGCTCAGCTCCATCACAACGAACCGGTTCAGCATCTTCATCACTGCAGAGACGCTGCCCCAATCCTCCTGTCGATCTCCCAATCCCTCCTACCCTCACTCGTGAACAAGACCACGAGATACTTAAAGTCCTCCACTTAAGGCAGGACCTCTCTCCCGACCCGGAGTTGGCAAGCCGCCGGTCGAGAACCATGGTCTCAGACTTGGAGGTGCTGATCCTCATGCCAGGCGCTTCACACTCTGCTGCAACCCTCCCTCCAGAGCCTGATGAATCTAGGAGGACCACATCATCTGCATAAAGCAGAGATGAGACTCTCCTGCCACTTACTGAGGATGTCCGATATTATCGGTCTACCATTAACTCATTCACTGCCAGCGTTTTTCAGTGTTTTTACAGTTTTTTTAACGCTTCCCACTATCCTGTCATGTGACCCCTTCAGGAAAGGTGACAGATGAGCAGGGTTGATGGTTTATCCCTTGAGGTCCACGTGGCATCCTTTCCTGGAGGGGCCACCTGATAAGACAGTGGGAAGGTTTAGAGTCACAGAACGTTGTGCGCTAGGATGATGTCGACGCCAAAACTAAGAAAACAAAGAGGAGACTCACCTCTTACATCAGGAAGAATCCTCATGTTTCGAGCTTTATCCGTGATTTCATAATCCGTTGTCGAATTGTGATCGGCAGAAGCTTTTCCGGTTCGCGCTTCACTTTTTTTTACAGCAGCGGTCCAAAACGATCTCCTGACACATGGATTTTCTGCTTCCTGATTACGTGACGTGTGACGTATGCGGATGAAGATCGGCTTTAGAGCTGAGATGGTTGTTCTCACGGTGCGGGGGCTCATTCCGACGCCCACTCAGTAAAAAGCAGTGAATGAGTAATATTGGCCGATATCGATATTGAAATGTAAAATATCGCTATCGGTTTTCAGTCTTTTAATGACAAGAGATAAAGCCTTTACACACAGTAAAACATCTTTGGTTAAATTTGCACTGATTCAGGTTTGGCGACGGTGGCACAGGAGTTAAGTGCTGGCCCCGTAATCGGAAGGTTGCAGGCTCGAGCCCCACTCAGACTGTCGCTGTCGTTGTGTCCTTGGGCAAGACACTTAACCCTTATCGCCTGCTGGTGGTGGTCGGAGGGACCGCTGGCGCCAGTGCTCGGCAGCCTCGCCTCCGTCAGCGCGCCCCGGGGCAGCCGTGGCTACATCGTAGCTCATCCCCACTAGTGTGTGAATGACTGGTTGTGTTGTAAAGCGCCTTGGGCGGTTCCAGGACTCTAGAAGGCGCAATATCAAATACAGGCCATTTACCATTTTGATACCGATGCCTGATTTTTGCACAGCTCTGACCTGCTGATAACGACTTTGGCCAATTCCAATTGATCTAAAAAAAAAAAGTATTGATTCTGATTTGGGGGTGAAAATGTCCTCATGAAGCAACGTTTTTAGCAATGATCACATCTGCCAACTTTTGTCTTACATCTCTAGTTAACTGCCATTCTAATAGACCGATTCATAAAATGACACTTTATTGTATATTGACCTTTATAGGCTGAAGCTCATGCAACAGTGAGCAGCAGCATCATTAACCCTCTGGAGGCAGGCGTTGCAGATGTGCAACGTTAAAACCTACCTACCTGGTTACTCCACACACGTTTTTCATGAGCATTTTTTAACTCAGAAGTTCCCCTGAAGGACTTAGTTGTTCGTCCTTTTATCAAAACTTATTTTGAGCCTGAGAGAGTTAAGCTGATCCAAGTCACCGTTCTCTTCCAGACATGACGCTATTGTGTCATTTAACACGTTTTCACACTCGCTGCATTATAAGCAGGAATGTATTACTTATCGTGTGAAAACAGTTCATCTGCTAATCTAAAAATGGGCTTGTTAGTGTGAAAAGACAGATGGTGTTTCTGAGGTAAAAATGGCACAAAACTCCTGGATCGCAGGCTCCGGCCTTTTCGGTTCCTTCGTGTTCATGTCCAAGTTCTCAGCTTTGTAGTTTGAACTTTTGATCCCCACAGAGTCCATCTGTTCATGGGGTTTGTGCTACTGCCAGAATTAGAGGTGAAATTACATTATTATGTAATAACTGATTTATTATTGATCAAATCACAACACACCTTATTGAAACCTCATTATTATAGAAATGTTTGCTATATCTTAGGGGTGGGCAATATAAACGATATAAGGTAGAAACTATATAAAATTGGGTAATGATAGAGTTTTTGGCTATATCGCAATACCGCGATGTCGCGATAACACATGACGTCACTAAGATGTGCACCCTGTTGACATTGGGGCAACAGAAGTGACCGCAAGAATGGAGTGGGCGGAGGAGGAGGCCTATATGCCTCAAGTGGTATAAATTTGCCACATGATGATATTTAAAAGCATGCCATTTTGACATATATAAACAGAGGAAAAAATATATCGCAGTATATATTAGAGGTGGGAAAAATGATCGATTCTAAGATGCATCGCGATTCAGCCGTGCATGATTCCGCATCGATGCAGCAACGTGACCTAATGAGATTCTCTCCCTATGTCTATGTCGGGGGTCGGCAACCGCGGCTCTGGAGCCGCATGCGGCTCTTCCATCCATCTGATGCGGCTCTCTGTGCTTGTAAAATAATGAATGGATATTTAAATAAAATGCTTTATATTTTACTGCATTAATTTTACATCTGTAAGCCAATTCTAAATGTAAAGATTGTCTGCGTAAACCTGAACAGTTCCAACCCGGTCTTACTGTGAGACCGGGTAGACGCGTCACGCTTGTGCGTAATCATATGCGTGTTCTGAGCTGACGAGGATGTGAGATTCTGGGCTTCTCCTCAGATCATGGATGTGTCGCCACATTGGAGACAGGAACAAGCGCTATTCAGCCAAAGTTTCATAATCAGGGAGCATTTTCTAAGCGACAAGTCTCGCTTCAGTCGGAGGAATCTTCCTGCATGCGCCCTGGTTCTGCGACATGCTCCAAGCCCCTCTCCACATCTTCAGCTCGCTGTCAGCGCTGTACGTACGCGCTGACAGCGAGCTGCGCTGAGCTCCGTGTCCAGCTCAGATGTTCAGATGGGAATCTTTTCTTGAGTGATTTAGCTACATCTGCGATGTGCGAAATGAATAAAGTGTCAGTTCGTCTGCATGCGTCGGGGTCTTTCTATTCTTTCTCCGTCAAAATAAATAGTCAAAAACGGGAACTATCCGGTCAACACAACACAAGCCCTGCTTTTAACTGTTTTGTTTTCTTGTGAAAATAGATAAAATTAAACTTGATTAACACCAGAGCCAGGCGCACTGCACCGTTATCTCCGTCACTGTAAATGAGGGAAAAACAAAATGATCGGATCCTTTTCTGACCTTCCCCACCTACAAAGTTTAATTACAACAATCAAACGTGACAGAGCCTGGATTTGTATTCTGAACAGTCTAAACATGTTTTTAAAAGAAACGTATGACAAAAGTGGCACCTGCTCAGTAAAACCACCAACAGGGTGAAAAATATCAAAATATTGTAGGCAGAGACGGGCTACAACTTCTGGATCCACTTTATATAAATCGT